TGCTGCATTTGTACACAGCGTGTACAAGATGCTGCATTCATGTGCCTATGTTCCTATATAACCTATATATGATGTTGCCTTCATGTGTCATATCTCCTCCACGACATGTACATGACGTCTTTATGTTCTTAATTTCCCTACCATGGCCCATAAAGGATGCTGACTTCATGTGCCTACATCGTTACCACGACGTGCATAGGGTATTACTTTCATGTGCATATAGAGTGGCACGATGCACACATCATGTACACATAAAGCTTCTTACATGTGCCAAAGTCCATGCTTGATGTGCACATGATGCTGCCTGACTTAGTGCTATAACTTGATTAAGTTACTGCATTTTGTGAGCTACATTGTTGCTTTCGTGTGAACGATGTTCTTGAGTAGCTTTCTTTTTATGATACAATGTGTCTGACTTTGTGCCACGATGTGTGCTTACTTAACTTTGTGTGCCTGAGTTGCTATATTTGTATGCCTACGTTGCTACCATTGTGCTACAACGCACCTACTTTTATACCTTCATGTGATATGACGTGAATGTATTGATACAGACGTACGCTAATGTGTTTCCTTTGTGTGCCAAAATGTACCTGAGTTACTGCATTATTGTGCCCGAAAAAACTTGAAAAACCTCAATATCCCTGACATGATGTGCACAGTTGATGATATTTTTATGTTCAATTATATGATATGCATGCAGTGCTACCTTCATATGTCTAAGTCCCTGCCACGACCTATACATGACACTGCATATGTGTTCCTAATTCCCTTCCACAGCCTGTATAGGATGTTATCTTCGTCCTTACCATGGCGTGCATAGTATATTGCCTTCATGTGCATTTGAAGCTACCCTGACATACACAGGATGATGTCTTCATGTGCACATGGAGCTTCCTGCGTATGCCCAAGTCCCTGCCATGATGTGCACCCAAAATTGCTTGACTTGGTATCACAACATAATTGAGTTGTTGCCTTATTGTAAACAACGTGGCTGAGTTGCTGCCCTTGTAGACACCATGTGGTTGTGATGTTGCTTCGTGCATTTGAAATGTTGCTTTCATGTACTATGATGTCCTGCGTTGCTACATTTGTATGTCACAACGTGCCTAAGTTACTACCTTCGTGTACCAGCATTGTTACCTTCGTGTGCCATGACGTGCCTAGCTTTCTACCATGATGTGCTTGAGTTGCTACCTGCATTGCTGTCTTCATATGCCACAATGTGCCAGCATTATTGCATTCTTGTTCCTTGTGAACTTGGTGCCACGACATACCAAAGTTGTTGCCTTCTTGTGATATGATGTAGTTGTATTCCTATCTTCATGTACCTAAAATATTGCATTCATGTGCCACGATGTGCAAGTGTTTTTACATTCGTATACCGAAATGTACTTAATATGATTTATACATTATGGTGCCACAATATGCTTAAAAAACCTCACGATGTGCCTACATCCTTGACATGATATCTATGGTGTGCTTGAAAGTATCTAAAAATACTCAACGACATTGACATAATGTGCAGATAGTGCTACCTTCATGTGCCTGAAAATGTCTGAAAAACTCAACATCCCTGACATGATGTGCATAGGGTAATGCCTTCGCGTTCCTGAACATTAACATCCCAGACATGTGCATACGGTGCTATCTTCGTGTGCCTAAGTTTGTGCCACGACGTATGTTAAATACTGCTTTCATATGCACATGGAGCTATCACGGTGTGCACAAGATATTTCCTAAGTCCCTGCAATGATGTGCACACGATGCTGCCTTCGTGTGCTTACATCCATCCCATGGTGCTGCCTTCATGTGTCATGATGTGCGTTAATAAATCTCAAGATGTTTTTATAACAGACGGTTATCAAAACCACAAAATGATTACTAGGGATAAGATTAACGTTAGAATTTCATACATTTTTAATTGTTTAAACAGCATTACCCATTTTCTCATTCTTGTCGTAATTTTCTGTAAATGTACGAAAAATGTATTAACTAAAATTATTTTTGACAAAAAGGCAAGTACCCCTATAAGATTTCATATTAACACATCTACTGGGACTTATCGAAATTTATGATATCTACTACTATCGCTTGAAATTTTTTCTCCTAGGGCTATTATAGTGGGTGGACGGTGTTTGGAAAGGAACAAGCAGCTAGTACATGCTGCGGGAAAATGCAATTGCCCACGGGTGGTTGTGTCCTTACCAATTTCGACGCCTTTGTGACCAGCACCAGCCAACCCAAGTGTATTGTCCATCAGATGATGGTACTGCTCCGAAGGTACTTCGATTGGTCACCCTCGAAACCACCTAGATAGAATGCATACATGGGCATGAAATCACGATGTGGGTTGAACAAAGATCCCAAATTAAGATACATACAGCCAGATTTGTTCACAATCGCTAATTTCGATCGGAGACTATCAAACAAAGTAAAACTCAATAAGAGTATGAGGATTAATCTAGATGAAGAGACTGAGTGGAGATGGAACCACATAAGACACATACAACAACATAATGCCTATAATTGCCATCCATTCTGCTAGTTTTCTTAAAAAATGGATAAAATGAGATATCGAAAGACAAATGATGCTGGATGAAGGACATGCATGAGGACGAAATCGCACGGTATTTATGTCAATTGGCCTAAAATGTAGTTCAGCTACTTGGCTTAAAATTTAACCGAATGTCATAGCTTTCTACTTGAGTTGGACTGAGATCAGCTGTTGCTAGTTTCCTCCATATAAAAGTAAATTGGTAGAGCTTTCCAACACTATATGATCTGTCAAGATATGACAAATTCTTAAAATTTTTGATTTTTTAAAATTATGTAACATGACTTCTACTCTATTCCAAGAAAACCTTTATAACTCAAAGCAAGAGTGAGTTCAACCGATCTAAATTTTGACAACTTTAAAAGATGGATAATTGTTTAAGTTTATATAATATAACCTTTGCACTATTTTCAAAAAAAAATGAAAAATTAATCACGATTTTTGAAGATTATACAATACTAATTTTACGTTGTTTGAAAAAGCCTTAATAACTAAAAGCACGGGTGTGAATTTAAAAATCCATTTCTTCCTTATGATAATAAATTGATAGAGCCAACGGTGTATGGTTTGTCAAATTGTGAAACTTCGAAAATAGATAAATTTTGAAGGTTATATAATACTAATTTTGAGCTGCTCCAAAAACATTCATAACTGAAAGCACATATGCGGATTCAAAAATTCTTTTCTTTAATATGAAAGTAGACTGATAGAGCCTTCCAACAATGTATGATTCTGCTGAATGAGGGCCACACGACTGTCAACCAAGTGCTTTCTAAATCCAATGTCTTGGTCTTTGGTATTGTCCTTTCCTTTCCAACTAGTAGCTATTAGCTTCATCGTTGATCTCTCTTCTTGTCGCTTGATAAATCGATAATTTTTTAAGGTTATATAATACGGATATTGTGTTGTAATGAAAAACTTTCATAACTCAAAGCACTGCAATCAAGCAACTCGGATCTTGTGCTAAAATACCACTGGTTTTAATGTGCCAAAGGTGATTTCGTGTGAATTTGAAGCCGAGTTTTCATCACTGATGTGTTTCAGCAAAAGGAAAATAATGTTATGTGGAGAATTTTAGAAAATAACGAATATGTGATCTTAGCCTATTTTTGGTACACCACATTGTACATATATTTGTTCAATTTGAAAGTAATTTCATTCGTCAAAATGGAACTTTGAATTAATTATTGTTGCATATTCAGCCCGTTAGTTAAATAAAATAACATGAATCTAAGAAACCATTACCTTTGTTAAACCATGAATCGATCAGTATCAATTGTTATGATGGCTTTGGACGAAGGATATACGAAGGAACAAAAAAAAAAAGATTCGATGATCATAGTGAATTTTATGTAATTATAAGTTGGAAAGTTTTCAGCTTATCCTCAACAGACTACACTAATTTGGAATTTTGGTAATACCTGATAGCTTTACTAATTTAAACTTAATAATAATATTCAAAAAAGTTGTACTTTTGTCCAAGGCTCCAAGCTCTAAGTGCTTGTTTGGTAGGTATTTTTGGGGGAAGAATTGATTTTTGAATAGTGATATAATGGAAAATGTGTGGTTGAAAAAGAAGAAAAAATTATTGATGTGATGGAAAATATTATTTTATTGAAAAATGTGTGGTTGAAAATGAGAATTGATTTACTGTAGAAAAATTTAATCATTTCCAAACAATGATTTTTTGTGGAAAGAAATGATTTTGAACAGTGATATGATGGAAAATGTATGGTTGAAAAAGAAGAAAAAATTATTGATGTGATGAAAAATATTATTTTATTAAAAAATGTATGGTTGGAAATGAGAATTGATTTACTGCAGAATTTGAGAATAAAAAACAAACAGACACTAATTAATATTACTGTTTAAAAACCACATTATAGTAAATATTGATAATTCGTATGAATGCATATGGTAATTTTTTTTGTAATAATTGCACTATTGGTCCCTAGTATATTGTAACAATAGTAAGTTGCTTATCATCCTTTCTGCAAGATGTTGAGTGATGTGGAAGAAGAGAATTAATAAGTATTTTTTAAGCGAAAAAAAAAATTATATTAAAATAACCAAACCTATATGAAAGTACGCCTTTTCATCATCATTATTGTATTTATTTTCTATAATCAAATGAAAGGAGAATAATCCTAAAAATAGTGAATGTTGAAGATAGAAACATCATATATTTGCACATAACAGAATCTCAATTCATCCACCTTCTTTCTGAATACTTAAGTGGATTTTATTTCATAATAGTTGTCATTTCCCTGGAACTGACTTATAACGACACCGCAAATTTTCTCCCTAACCTGTATACTAAGCACGCAAGCCATTCCATAATAATCACAAACAAAATTATACTCTTCAGAAGAATAATATATCCAATAAAAACAATAATAGAACCTTTATATATTTCTCGAGATACCTTCTTATGTATACCTTTGCATCAGATACGACTTGAATCTCTCCCAAAGATGTATCTTCTCGACCAATCGCCTATTACTAGGAACCTGGTGCGCCAGCTAACTTGCTTGCTGAGTTTAACAAATAGTACGTGAATGATAAGTCATACATATCAGATTTCATGCTCAATAAGAAGAGTGAAATTTATTCAACAAGATCTAACCTTGCATAAACAGAATACCACAACCACTGAGTACTATGACCTATAGACACCCAGTCTCCAGGCAATTCTGCAGCTGCTTGTTCCCCTCCAAGTGGAGCAAATTGCCCAAGATGCCGGTACCTGATATTCGAGTTGTCGGAATACCAGAATTTGTAAAGGATTGAATATTTATGACATGTTTAGTAGAGAGGATGAGATAGCATGCTGTAATAGTAAAGATGAAAACAAACTAAAACTATGCTCATTGTAGTGTTTAGCAACATAACGAACATGCACATGGCATGTTACTATGTTAGACTAAACAATACTCAATAGGATGGAGTAAAACAAAATTTTGTTATTGTGTGCATGGGTAGTATACAATGGTCATCAAAAACTAAAACCCCACTCTTTTCGAGGGGATGGGAAGGGAAAAGATGAAAAAAAAAAAGGTTTGTTATGAAAGAAACAAAGAAAATTAAGTGTAATCGTTGTATTGGAAAGTAGCAACAGTATGCATTCCTTTCCCTTTTCCTCTACCCATATGTAGATAGTGTAATTCATGCCAAATAAAGTTCAAGTCTATGTAGACAGGCTACAAAATAAAATCCTTGGATCATTTTTTCAAGTAGTATATGCAACATGGAAAAGCCATCCTGCGTCTATAGAAGATTTGGGAACACGGGGATATCTATGTCATAATGTTCAAATATATGCTTTAGTTCGGTGCAAGCTAATTATTAATAGTTTTCTAGTGAAGTTGAATAAATTTTTCACAACATGCAAAATATCCTCTAAACAAGAATCTCCAAGACAATCAAGAAAGAAACTCCCAGATATGCCCATTTCCCAACGAAGGGCAATTTAGGTATTTAACACCCACAAATTGTTAAATTCGCTCCACCAACATTGCCTCAGGATTAGACCAATGCCTACGGCGGAGTGATAAAAGTACAGTGAAATTAGGAGCATCAGTGCTCTCTCCATACCAACTTGAGGACCAGTGGGGATGTCATCCCGACTCAATTTTCAGATTTCCTAATTTTCTTCCGATTTTCAAATTTTTTAGTTTTTTTGTCTAGGTTTTTTTAGGGTTTCAGATTTTTTTTCCAAGGTTTTTTGGTTTCACCCCAACTTAACTTCCTTCATAGGTCCGCCCCTAACCACGTCTATCATCTTTAAAATCCCTTCAGCACACAAACATTTCGTATTAGATTTCTTTATTACATCATTCTCACCACAAATATAAGACCTATTCCATGTCAAAATTGATAAATAAAATAATCATTTTTTTCCTTTTAATTCTTTTCCATTTTGCATCTAAATTGATAGTGTCACTATCAAAATTGATAGTGGTGTCACTTGGCAAGATCTCATAGTCTAGATTCATAGCAATATTGTTAGGACTTGGGGTCAGAAAAGAAACTGGCTGTATACTATCAAAATTGATAGTCACTTGGCAAGATCTCATAGTCTAGATTCGTAGCAATATTGTTAGGACTTAGGGTCAGAAAAGAAACTGGCTGCATATTTCAACACACTGAACTCTGTCTCCATGGCTAATTATGATTACAGCTGACAGGTAACTTATCTTTAGAAACTTGTACTTCTGAATTGGAATAATAAGAATATATACCTTTCTGATTAGAAAGTTTTCACTGAATCTCAAATAACCCTAAAAGTCTCATTTAGCTGCATCAGATTTAAGCAGGAGAATCAGCTAAGGAAAATAATGGGAAGGGATTATATGTTCTTTATTAATTTGAAGGAAGCATAATGTAGAGTTCTTACTGATGATTTAAGTTGGATATCAGGGAAGAGTAATTTTATTGATATTTTAAAGGCATGCATGATAACCAAGTGGAGATCATCTGTGCATGAATTAAGTGTGTTGCCAGAACAAGCTGGTCACCAAGAAAGGTGCTTCCATGAGTTACACAAGGGGTTGACATTAAGTCCTTATTAAATAAGATTATCGGTGGATGGACAAGATCACGTGGTTTGTATTATCTATGCATCTTATTATCTAAATTGATAATATTACTGCACAAAATATGCTAAATTAGTGTCATAAAGAAAAGCAATCAGACATAAGAGATTGGAACGAGCACAAATGAGTAGAAAGAAATTTTTGTGGGCAGCTGAATCATCAGGAAGAGAGGAAGAAATTTCTTATGATAATAATACCCACAGGATTTCATTTGGTTAGGAACAAGGAGAAGTTAGAGTGTAAAAAATTCTTCGAGTTGAAACGGAACTTCCATGGGATATGTATCAAGACCAGCTATAATAAAATAAATGTAAGGTAACTAAGATAATGTGAGCCACAAGAAAATAAATGTAAGGTAACGAAGATAATCTGATTTTTTTAGTTTTTTTGTCTAAGTATTGGAGCTATCCTGGCGCTCGAGCGATGATATTTCCCATGAAACCCTAGTTCGCGATTTTCAAGAGCTATATTTATCCTATACTACCCCAATACTTCTCTACTATAAATAGCAAGTCTCACTTCATAAAAACTGTGGTTGATCATATTATTCTACCTAGAGAACATACTTGGAGATTTTATAACAAGTCTAATCTTTAAAATCAATCAACCACACCTTGGAGAAAACGTCAATCCAAATTATCAAAATACCTACTTCCTAAATATCTATCAAAGAGTGCTCAGGATTCAGGAAGGCGACCAAGAGTCTAGGAAGAGTACAAGAACGAGGAGTTATTAGTGATCCATAGGAGACAGACAATTTCTGAAAATTGGGACCTGGCGTAAGGAATATGCAATCCAAGAGGGCCTTGAAAATTACAAGTAGCTCGGTGAGTCTAGGAAGTTGTCTAGTCTAGATCATACTGTAAATCTTTGTCTATAGTGAATTTTACTGGTTTGGTCCCGGAGTTTTTTTATCCCGCAAAGGGTTTTCTCCGTCATCAAAATACTTGAGTTATTTACCTTTCTGCAAATATACGAATTGTGGTAATTCAATGTAGAATAATAATTGCATGTGAATTCATCTAGATTGATTATTAATAGTGACTTGAACATGAATTGACGTTTAACTAGTTGACCTGAGCTATCGTATATTCCCTAAAAAGAAAAATTAAGTCATCTTATACTCTTCTTTGAAGCACATTCAACTCAAGCAATTAAGCTCGAGGGGTTTCTCAAAATTTAATTCCCTATGATCATCTGACTTGGAGATTTCGATCCAAAATTTGTAACATGGGTCATCTTAGTCGCTTAATGGAGAAGAATCTGCACATAAGATGTGAAAAACAAAAAATTACATATGCTTAAATTTAGGAAGAGAAAAGAGAGATTTATACATGAAAAGATGAGCTTCATTATTTTGTAGGCCCTAGTTGTGGTCGGTTTGACTTTCATTAATAAAGGAAAGCACTCATTATGCAATGATGCTTAGCATGTCCTTTCTCACAAATTTAAAATTTGAAACCTTGCTCATAAGGAATCGGTGGCAACTTATGCACATGCGTTACTTATACAATTTACTCCATTTAGATTTGAACTGAGTATATGGGAAAGTTTGTAGTTCATTGATAATACTTGTACATGCTATCAATTGCATTTTTTAGTTGTCATGTATATTGTTGGTATTTCAAGAAGATATTTAAACAAAAGGCTGGGAGAGAGATTTCTTGTTATATTTTCCTTCATCATTTGTGACAAAAAGGGGGAGAGAGTAACAAGGGGAAGTAATTAAAGGAGAGTAAGTAAGTATGCATTCCAAATCATCATTTCATATCATTTTGAATGAATGAATGCTTTACTTAGCGTTTTTGAGTTTTGATATTTTGTAATATTAATGTTTCAGTTGGTGCTTTGACTAACATTGATATTGCATGTCAATCTATTTTTGTTTAACTTTTTCACGTGCTTTTAAACTTGTTATTTGAGTTGTTGATTTCAGAAAATATACTACCTCAATACCTCTTTACTATGAATAAACGATCCCCACTTCGGAAAAACTGTGATTGATCATATTATTCTACCTAGAGAACATACTTTGGAAATCTTATAATGTGAGTCTAATCTTCGAGATCAATCAACCACATCTTGGAGAAAATATCAATCCAAATTATCAAAACAACTACTTCCTAAATATCTATCAAAGAGTGCTGAGGATTCAGGAATGCGACCAGGATTTTAGGAAAAGTACGAAAACGAGGAGTTCTTGGTGATCCACAGGAGATAGAAAATTCTAGAAAATTGGGAGCTGGGGTGAGGAATACGCAATCTAGAAGGGCCTTGGAAATTACAGGAAGTAGGCCAGTGAGTCTAGGAGGTTGTCTAGCCTAGATTGTACTATAAGTCTTTGTCTATAGTGGATTTTACTGGCTTGGTCCTAAAGTTTTTTTATCCCGCGAGGAGTTTACTCCGTCATCAAAATACTGGCGTCATTTACTTTTCTACAATTATACGAACTATGGTAATTCAACGTAGGATAGTAATTGCATGTGAATTCATCTAGGTTGATTATTAATATTGACTTATTGCTAATAATAATTGGTAAATTTAAATTCCGCATTATACACCTATTCAACCCTTGTAGGTGTTATTTGGGTCCAACCGTTGTTATTTTTCTTAGTGAATAACTCTTATTTTGCTTAAACAATTTGTACCTTGGAATAAGAAGATCTTTCTTGAACTTCTTATACACCATATTTCCTGGCGTCATAGTCCTATATAACCGGTTTCATCCCATGCTAAGTGGTAGTTAATTTTGGACCCGAAAGTTAGGTGATACTCGGAATGAAAGTTTCTGATGAATCAATAGTAAAATATCCAATCTAATCTCATCAGCTGAATAGAATCAGAAAGTCCGTTTCTCATCTTGCATTAATTCTAAAATTTCTTCCTTCGATTATTTTGATTTGGAAGTTTAGTTATTAAGAAATTTTGGGGAAAAATAACAAATGGAAGTATGGGGGCAGAGAGAATGGTGTACCGAAAAGGACGAAATTCGTGACGGCCACCACTTCTGAATTTACGAGGGCCTTCTGGATTGTCTTTACATTTCTCCCATATGTTAAAGCACCTCGATAGATATGCACCTTGTTGAGCTGCAACCTGATAGGGAATAAGAGGTTAAACAAAACTAATTAATTTGTAGAGGCAAGATGGGACATAGAAATAGTGGAATCAAAGCAAACTTACTTGTGCAGTAGCCGGAAGACTCTTCGTCTGTGTATCAACATGCGATAGTGCTAATTTGAACCCTTCAATATCTACCTCCAGTCTATCATTACCATCTGTATCTTTTAGTAAGTCAGCTACGTCAAATAGATGCTTGTTCTTCAAATACAGTTCCACTTGAGGGTATCTGATGATGACATCTTCAATCACATCTTGGAATTCTTCTATAGTTAGGGTACCGGAATTATCTTTATCCGCAGCTTTAAATATTTCTGAGATATCTTCCTGAAAAACAATAGTATAGCGTTGGAAAAGAATCGTTTCTTCATTTGCAAGACAACATATAAAATCTGAAAATTATTTTGAATAAATTCATGGAAGTAAATTAAATAAGACATCTTTTGGAAATTCCAGGTTTAGTCAACTGACAACTATCCTTTCAACGCAAAAGTTTTCCTTGTAAAATAGCCAGTACTATTTTCGCAGAGTTATGACATATTCATAAACTTGAGATTAATGTTACGTTTTCTTCATTTATATATTTTTTTATTTTATATAAAATAATCCCATACATATTCTACTAGATTTTGTCTAGGAAAAAACTCGAGAAAACAGTACAGATATTTGAGGCTGCCTTGTCACTGTTGTTTCGGTAACATCGATGAGAAGCTGATTTCATAAATTGAACTTTCAAACTCCAGAAAAGGACTAATTGTGATTGATAGAAATATATTAAAACTATATCCCAAAAAAATAAATATACCATCTGGTGTTACAACTATCTAAATTACCATGATTTTTTTTTGATCAACAGTGGCACAATCACCAAGGGCATACACATTCTCACATCCCTTCACTCGCAACCATTCATCAGTTGCTAGAACACGCCTATTGCCCTGCATAAAGAATAACACAAATACAATAATAGTTATTAGATGAGAAACATATTAGTTACACGAAATACTAGCAACAACAAATGAAGTACACTGGTCAGAAAATATGAAACATGAACACATAAAACATACCTGTCCAACTTGTTCCATAAAATCCTTGACAACTGGACGAGTCCCAACACCGGTTGACCATACCACCATCCCATGAGGTATTGAATCATCATTTCCAGTAGCTTTATTCCTCATGTTAATCAATCTATCAGAAACACTGACTACGCGGTGTCCTGTCAAAACTTGAATACCATCCCTTTGAAATTTCTGTTCAGCAAATGAGCTGATCCTTTCATCGAACCTACAGAGGCATGAAGAGTCAAAGTTTCGAGTTGTGATAAAGTATGTTCATTAATATGCAAATGCTAATTAACTGTAACATCCATCGGTGGAAAGAAAATGATTTGTCACTTGGTTTTCTTTTATCATCTACCTTTTTGGCCCCTGTTTGTCTCCCTTTAAAACAAAACTCTTTAATTCTCTTACTCATTTTCAACCATATATTCACATAATAAAATATTTTGCACATAAATCCACAAATTTTCCCTATTTTTTAACCACACATTATCTAAAACTTACTATTCAAAACATCATTTTTCCTCAATAAAGGCCATCAAAAAGGGCTTAATTAACTGGAACATCCATACTGAATTTTTTCATAGATATCTTAGTTTCTCCTTTCTCATTTCCCCCTTTTTACCTTTAATTACACAGGATTGCGATACATAATGGAATACATAAATTTCAGCATCTTATAGATTTTGATGGACTTTACTACTATTTAATTTGGAAAATTACCAAATTGTAACAGTTTAAAAGTCATGTTGCTACTCTAGCGTACATCAAAAGCTTCACAATATAAATCATGGTTGCTTACGAGTTCAAGATATGATCTCCAGATTGGATCATTGTTATCTTTACTAAATCTTTAACTGAGGGATATATTTTGACTAAATCTTCATGAACAAAGTCGTGAAGTTCCGCTGCAAATTCTATGCCAGTTGGACCCCCTCCGACTACTACGAAGTGGAGGTTAGTTTTCCTCTCTTCTTCAGTCAGCCCTGGAAGGACAGCTTTTTCAAAACAATCTATTACAGTCCTACGGATCCTTTGAGCATCCTCTACTTCCTGCATTGAATATGATTGCTTGTTTGTAAAGAAAAATTCAGTACATGCAAGTGGAATTTATCAGGAAAAAATTTCAGCTCATCAAATAGATTAATCATTACTAATTTACCATTGAATCAGGTCTTTCATTAAAATACTAAACATTCATTCAGAAAATTAGGACTTACCTTCAAAAAATGGCAATGCTCCAAAACACCAGAAGTGTTAAATGTGTTTACTTGTGCTCCAATTGCTATAACTAAATAATCATATTGTAGAGAGAATTCATTATTTCCTGCTAAATTTTCATCAATAGTCGACCGACAGAAAACCATTCCGTTTGCTTGATCAATCTTGAGGCATTCTGCTTCCCAGAAATTAATTATCCCATTTCTCTGTCATATTATCAGTAAAAGAGAGAAGCATGAATAAAGTTATATTACTGAACAAAACTTTTCAGGAAAAATCATGAAGTTGAAGAAATAGTGGATTTATTCTTTAAGCATTGAGAGAGCTAATGGAATTGCTTCACACATGTACCAATGAAAAATGCAACTAGATTACATATCACTCCATACACAGTTATGCTAAATGAAAAAAATGCATAGAAAACTCATACTCCAAAATTAATACTACCTTCTTTATTATGTTTCGAACAGGCTCTACAATACTTCGTGCCTCAACTGTTCCACACGTAACACTCGGTAGCAAAGGGGTGAAAGCAAAGTAATTCCTAGGTGAAACCACCTGAACATCATAGGACGAAATATCCAGATCCTTCAGAAAGCTAGTACCAGCCCATCCTGTTCCTAGTACCACCACCCTTTTCTTCTGTGGTACCTTTTGATTGAGTTCGACAACTGATTTTCCACCTTCTGAAGGTGAGTCCGCATAAGCAATGAGCACTCCACTACTGTAACACCCAGAAGAATTCAATTTCAATGGATGTAAAATGCAAGATATTAATGAAACTAGTGAACTTCTCATGTTATTGTCATCTTAAGGGGCCAATTCCTAACAACTATAGTTAGATAAATAATGGAGAATTCCATGGAGCAACCGTGATCTCATTTTCCTGGTGTAAGATTTAAATGTTTGGCAACTTCAACTTATTTAAAACCGCACAAAAAACAATTAATCCCCTTTTTTCTCGTCATGATAGCATAATATCAAAAGGAAACTAACAAAGATCACAATATAAGGCATTCCACCATCAATTTATGAACAATTTGTCAAAATACCTACTAACAGCACACTCTTATCGTGAATACATTCAACTAACCGCGTAAATTGGATGAATCTGATTTCAATATTGGCAGAGGACCACATAAACTTATGACAAATAGTCTTGAAGTTAATGGGAAAGGAAATTAATTAATTAACAGGCTTAAAGTTACTTGTAGAGAAATTAGGAGTTTGTTAGATAGAATTTATTTAAATTAAATAATAGGTTGACATAATCTATTATAACAGATCAATATTATCTGTTAGAATAGATCATCATAATTTGTTCAACAGATTTAGTGATAGAATTTAGATGTTTGGTCCAATTAGAATTCTTTTTTTCTGGTAACTCTTAGGCTATTTATTCTGTACTTTCTGCAGCCAATTATGAATAATAATACGGAAGATTTCTTGTTATTTTCTTTTCAGAAACTTTTATGGTATCAGAGCTTTGGTTCTGACCAGAGTTCTCAATTTTTAAAACAGCAATGACTGGAGGAATTAGAAGATCAGCGTCCTCAGGGGAAGCCGTTGAAAGTACCCCTATCTCATCCTCAAATATCGAAGCAGATGTTTCAACTTCAACAGCCAATAATTCCCTGCAATTAACAGCTCAGAAATTAAATGGTAAAAATTACCTAGAGTGGGCACAAACAGTAAAACTGGTGATAGACGGGAAAGAGAAACTTGGTCACTTGACTGGTGAGTGAAGAAAGCAGCAAATAGTGATCCCAACCTCAAATCATGGAGACCCGAAAATTCCATGAAATGTTTTCAATACAAGCTTTCCCACATCATGACTAATAAGCAATATTCCATTAAAAAAATTTGGATTGTCTGTCCATGTTCACAGACACAATCGTAGTAAACTTATCCAAGGGCTAAAATATGTGTCTTTATTGGCTAATCACCAACTCAAAAGGGATATAAGTGCTTTGATCCAACTACACGAAAAATATTTTGTTACGATGAATGTGATATTTTTTTAAATGAAATCTTTTTTGAAGATGAACTTCTTCAAGGGAAGAATGAGAGTGAAAATGAAGACTTCGGGAATATTTTTCAAATTGAGAACACTACTCTATATTCCATCTCTACTCGAAGAAATTCAAGTCGAGAGAAATTTCATGTTCAAAGTCCTCAGGTAAAATTCTTCCTATTCCTTCTGTTTCAAAGTCTGCTGAGTCTTTAGAAATTCCTATTGCTCATAGAAAAGGAGTTCGATCTTGTACTAATCATCCCATATCTAAATTTGTGTCATATAACAAATTATTCCCTTCTTTCCATGCTTTCACATCACAACTATCCAGTATAGAAATTCCTAGAAATGTGCAGGATGCTTTAATTGTTCCAGAATGGAGGGAAGCAATTCTTGAGGACGTGAGGGCACTTGACATGAATAAGACCTGGGATGGGATGTGGTTGATCTGCCAATAGGGAAGAAAAAAATAGGCTGTAAGTGGGTGTTTATAACTAAATACAATGTGGATGGTACTTTAAACAGATATAAAGGAAGACTGATGGCAAAATGGTTCACTCAAATCTATGGCATACATTACTCAGAGACTTTTGCACCAGTAAGTGCTTCTCTCAATTGCCATGAACTTAGAATGGCAACTACAACAACTGGACGTAAAAAATGCGTTTCTAAATGGTGATTTGGAAGAGAAGTCTATATGGAGTCTCCACAGGATTCAATAAGGGTTTTGGCTCGAAGGTCTGTAAGCTGGGAAAATCCTTGTGTGGTCTTAAACAATCACCTGGAGTATGGTTCGAGAAATTCACTCAATCTGTTAAAAATCAAGGATATATTCAAGGACAGACAGATCACACATTGTTTAAGAAGTTCTCAGAAAGAAGAGTAGCCGTCTTAATTGTGTGTGTAGATGATATCATCCTCACTGGAGATGATATGGAAGAAATAGATAAATTTAAAAGTGTTTAGCCTCTGAATTTGAGATCAAAGATTTGGGTCACTGAAATACTTTCTTGGTATGGAGGTTGCTCAATCCAAATAAGTAATTGTAGTTTCACAAAGGATATATGTACTTGATCTTCTGAGAAACCAATGGAGCCGAAATTGAAACTTGGAGATAGTGAAAGGCAGGTTCCAGTTGATAAAATGAGATATCAGAAACTAGTTAGCAAGCTAATTTACCTATCTCATACCCAGCCAGACATAGCCTTCGCAGTATGTGTAGTAAGTCAATTTATGCATTCGCCATATGAAGAGCATCTTGATGCTGTCCACAAGATCTTAAGATACCTAAAGAGTATTCAAGGTAAAGGATTATTCTTTAAGAAGAGTGAGCGGCGAGGAATTGAAGTTTATACGGATGATAATTAGGCAGGATCAATAATTATTAGACGGTCTACCTCTGAATATTGCATGTTTGTTTGGGGTAATCTTGTTGCTTGGAGTAGCAAGAAACAGGGTGTAGTGGGAAGAAGTAGTGCAGAAGCCAAATTTAGAGCAATGTCACAAGGAATTTGCGAGATGCTATGGTTGAAACATGTGCTGAAGGAGTTGAAATAACCTATTGAACAACCTATGAAACTTTATTGCAACAACAAAGCTGCAATCAGCATTGCACACAATCCAGTGCAACATGACAGGACGAAACATGTGGAAATAGATAGGCACTTCATAAAGGAGAAACTCGAGACATGAATCATATGTTTGCCATTTGTCCCAACTATACAACAAATAGCCGACATCCTAACAGAGGGACTCCGGAGACCGGTTCAAAATCACAATCAATTCCTTTTTCAAATCCTTCTGCAGCTACACGAGCCCTTCCCGCGTCACAAATGACCTACGAAGAAAAAGAATCCTAGAACAAAATGAGAGGACAGAGAGGCCTGAAATTTTGCAACTTGCGAGTAATAACGCTCCAAGGGACTTTGGAAGAAGAGCAATGAGTGTAGGCTTGAACTCTTTTAGTAAGCATCCGTTCCGAAATCCATCCTTGATTGCTATCGTCTGCTCGGAACCGGTCGATTCCTAAGTCATTCGTTCTCCACTCTAGGTTGGCTGTCTATTGCCCTTCTCACGGATCCGTACGTGGACGTTACCGCTCATAGAGCTCCCAGCCTCCTGCCCACCCTTCCTCCTCTGCTTTGAGAACCGTGTGAACAGAGAGTGGGCAGAAGAGAAGAAGGTCCGCATACGGTTAGGTATGATTGAAATCTATGCTCCAACTTAAGAGGAAATGTAGAGATATTAGAAGTTTGTTAGGTAGGATTTATTTAAATAAAAATCAATTATAACATATTGATATAATCTATTATAACAGATCAATATTATCTGTTAGAAGAATTCTGCTTCACGTAAAGAAGCAGAATTCACATAAATTTGCCAGATACTCACAGTGGG